TTGTACATCTTAAAAACCCCAGCCACTGCGTTCCACACCACCAGACACAGTATGTTTATGCACATGGACACTTTTGCACACCTGTTTAATCATAATTGCTCCTTTCTCTTCTCTGATTGGACAACGTTTTCCATATCCTTCACACGCCAATCATGATTTCACAGCAAATGTGATGAAACATTTTCTGAATACCCAAGCTTGTGTTTCTAGAACCTTTAAGCTGCCACTGCACTGTGTACAAACTTCTTTTTCTGCATAGATATTATGTCATGAAATGTCTGTTCAATTGCTAGGAACACAGCTCAACACCAGGGACAGTCCTAAGTCAGTTCCTTGTTCACTTCAAAGCACCAGTGGGATTCAATATGAAATGCTGAGTGAAGGAAAATTAGTATCCACTCAAGTGTACCTTCATTGTAAACGCTGTCACATTTTTCAGGTACTACCTCTTTGGTACTCGTCTGGTTCGGGATTTTTAACGCTGCAGATTTTGCTTCTTTCTCATTTCTTCAGTATTTAAGAAATAGTCTTCCCGCTAAGCTGAAAGCAAGACTTCTGGCCCGTTTTTGAGACTAAGATAGCTCAGAAATAGCTAGGCAGAAGAAGAAATGTGCCCCTGCTTTGGGCACTAAGGCCCCTAGTGTCCTGCTGTCCTTCCAGCCCAGGAGGTCAGTGAGGAGGAGGACGAGAGAAAAAAGGTAGAAGGTTAGATTAAAGGTGAGAGTAAATTTACTGAAGTTTTGAAAAGAGTAAAGATGAAGAAAGAATAGTGATATACTGTGAATGTGACATTAGATTTTAAGCATAATGATATTGAAAAAAATCCATCCTCAGTCAGTGCTTATACTATAACAACCAGATGGTATAATCTGTTTTTTAAAACTTACAGTCTTTACATTTAAGCTGGCTTTATGAAGAGGGTTTTTTTTTTGGTTTTTATTTTTACCTTTACCCAAGAATATTTTTTCATTGCTTTTTAGAGAGAAAGGGAGAGAGAGGAACACAGATGAAAGAGAGAGAGAAGCACCAATTGGTCGCCTCCTCTACCGGCCTGGACTGGAGATTGAACCCGGAACCCAGGCATGTGCCCCAATGGAAATCGAATCCAAAACCCCTCAGTTATGAGATGATGCTCCAACTAACTAAGCCACGCTCAGGACAGTGTTATATGAATTTTAGTGACCCAGATTATAGTTGGTGTAGATTAGGACACCTGCTTATTCTCATATATTTCTGGGAGTACATCTACGTACACAACACCTTAGACCCCAGGTGGTGTGTTCTTTTTATCACATGACCCTGCCTTCATTTTTTTCTTACTCTGCCCTTGAATTGACAAAGACCCCACAATAAACCAATCCACAACCTCTGGGTAGAAAAAGATAAGCTGGAACCATTAGACATTATGTCTTATGAAGTAAGCCATTCTGAAGAAAATTGCCAAAAGTTACTCAGAGACTCATTGAATGGGGTAGTCATTGTGGGTCCCAATAAAACTGAAGCAATGAAAAGTGGGTGTATTTGGGGGAAAGCCCAGTGAGCCTAAAGGGAGCAGAGGGGAGCAGAGGCAAATACACGAGGACTGAAAGTGGTGAAGAGGAACTGCTTCAGGAGAAACTGCTATACACTGGGTATAATCTTACCATAATCCACCTCAATCCTCTTTTTTAAAGTAGGCCTGTCCTTTTTAACCAAAAAAGCCTTATTGATATATTACTATTTTGGTAAGTTTTTCACAATTTTTACTGTAATAAAGTAAACTAGGAACATTTCCTCCAAACCCAATCTCCCTTGAAAAAATATCTTTATACATTCATTGGCTCAGCTCAATACCTACTTAATGGCCTCTTATTAGACATTAAATTCTGTTCTAGTCAGTGGGCATATGCCTCTTAATTTTGAGCATGCTGATGTGCTATTAAATTAAATTAAGTTATCTTTTACATATTGTGGTCCTAATTGCAAACCTATCGCTGCTTTTTCCTATGATGGTAGTCACAGGCATCTTTACTTCTTGGTCCGAAAAGGCAGAATCTAGTATTACCACGTGTTTGAGAGAAGCTGTCCTAGGTAAAGCCCAGGGGAACCCTGCCAGGGTGCATCCAGACTGCTCCTGGTCAGGGTCCCCAGCTGCTCTTCATGATGTAGGGTCACCCTGAATGGTGGGCTAAGTAATGGCCACCCAGAGACATCAGGTCCTAACCCTGGTACCTGTACATATTATCACCTTATAAAGAAAGAGGGTCTTTGCAGATGTGATTAACTTAAGAAAACTGACATGGCGAGATCATCATAAATTATCCAAGTAGGCCCTAAATCCAATCACAAATGTCTTTCTAAGAGAGAGGCAAAGGGACATGACACACTCAGAAGAGGAGGAGGCAATGCGACCCTGGAGGCCAAGGTCAATGCGATGCAACAAAAGCTGAGTAACAATGGTGGTGACCAGAAGCTGGAAGAAGCAAGGAAGAATTTTACCCTGGAGACTCTAAAGAGAACAAGCCCCTGCCGACATCTTGATTTTGGCCTGAAGACAGATTTTGGATGTTTGAACTGCAAAACTGTGAGAGAATTCATTCCTGTTGTAATCCACCAAAATTATGTAACTTGTTGCATAGCAATGGGATTACCCTTCCTCAGAAACCAGAAATGGGAGATTTCAGTTAATGTGGAGAGACTGTGAGAGGCTGATAACAAGAGAACTTTTTAAATAAGCATAGAAAATAAAGAATTTCCTCAGTTGGGGTCCTCTGAACATCACAGATCCTCCCGACATGGGGATTTTATTCAGTGACTACAGGCAGCCTGCTAAATTCCACTGAGGAATGACGACATGTTTCAGGCATTCTTGATTCTGTAAGAACTTGGTTTCTGCAAGGTGTAGATCCACAGAGATCCTGTTCGGCTGACACTCTCTGTTAAATGCTTACAAACTGGAATTATAACCTGGGAGGCTGTGCTGTGAATAATCTCTCCAAGGCGAGTATGTGTGAAGTGACATCTCTGCGTCAGGTGAAACGAGCTGGCTGACACTGTAGCTTTGAAATGGTGATATTTTTCCGAAGTCTCTTGCACAATGTATGCAAATTTGAATTTGGGGTCTCCAGAGCAATATTTATTAGAAACAATAGTATCATATATCACTTTCTTGTTCCTGAAGGATAACACTTGATCATTAGGTATAATATTTGTTGTCAGTTGATATTGTATATTCTCTTCTATTTCTAATTTGGTAACAGTTTAACTTGTTAAAAAATCATAAATAAGTTTTCAATTTTATCAAGTATTTTTCTGAATCCGTTGAGATTATTTTTACTCTCTTAATCTATTAATATACTGAGTTATTTTAAAAGATTTTCTAATGTTAACCCAACTTTGAATTACTGAAATTAGCACTTTAATGTGATCAGTTATATTTTCACATATGTATTGTTTGGATTAATGTAGCCAATAGATTTTTTGAATCTATGTATGTGAGTGAGTTGGTTTATAATTTCATTTCTATTTACTGTTATTGCATAATTTTGGCATCAAGGTGATTTCAGTATTATGAAATGAGCTTCAGCCTGCTCCTTTTTTTTCTCTTGTCTGGACATTTTGGTATAAAACTGACATAGTCCACCAAACAACCATATTTGATATTTCCTTTGTGGAAAGACTGTTAAATATTAATTCAATTTCTTTAAATATAAAGGGCTGTTTAAGTTCTGTATTCGTCTTTTACACAGTTTCGTTTACTAATGTTTTCCACGATGTATTTATTTGATACAAGTTTTAAATTTAATGGGTTTAAAGTCATCCATATTATCATCTCACCTTTTTGATATCTGATGCATCTGTGCTAGATCTCCCTTCTTCTCATTGTTAACACACTTGTGTATATGCACCATCATCTCTTTTTCTCTTGGTCAGTTTCAGCAAGAATTTTTTTCTATTTTACTGTAGGCTTTTCAAAAACCTGTTTTTGACAATGTTTTTCTTCATTATAATAATAAATTACTGCTTTTATTGTTTTAATTGTTGTTGAATTACACTTGTCCCAATTTTTCCCCCTGTTACTTTCCCCCACCCCCCACCCCACTTCCGTGGTCAATCCCCACACAGTTGGCCATGTCCGCGTGTCCTTTATACATGGTCTTTGATGACTCCTCCCCTTCTTTTCCCATTATCCCCCTCACCTTTCCCTTCTGGGTACTGTCAGTTTGTTCTTGATTTCCATGTCTCTGGTTCTATTTTGCTCACTTGTTTGTTTCATAGATTCAGTTCCACTCTTAGATGAGATCATATGGTATTTGTTTCACTGTCTGGGTCTCTTCTAGGCAGCATGTATGCAGGTCATGTTTTCTAATCCATTCAGCTACCATACGTTTTTTGATTGAGGCATTTGATCCATTTACATTTAAGGTTATTAGATAGGTACTTATTCATTGTCATTTTTACCCTTTGTACCTGTGTTCCTCTCTCTCTCACTCTTTTTATTCATCTTAAAGCAGTCCCTTTATCATGTCTTGCAGTGCTGGTTTGGTGGAGGTGTATTCTTTTAGCCTTCTTTTGTCTTGGAAGCTCCTTATTAGGTCTCTGTTTTAATTGAGAGCCTTGCTGGATAGAGTAGTCTCAGTTGCAGGCCCTTGGTTTTCATTACTTGAAATATTTCTTGCCATTCTCTTCTGGCTTGTAACATTTCTGTTGAGAAGTCAGCTGCTAGACTTATCAGGGCTCCTTTGTATGTTACCTCCTGCTTCTCCCTTGCTGCCTTTAAGATTCTCTGTCTTTGAATTTTGAAGTTTTAATTAGGATGTGTCTTGGGGTGGGGCTCTTTGGGTTCACTTGATTGGGACCCTCTGTGCTTCTTGGATTTGTGTGACTTTTTCTTTCATGAAATTAGGGATGTTTTCTGTCATTACTTTTTCATACAGGTTTTCTAACCCTTGCTCCTCTTTTCCTCCTTCTGGTCTCCCTATTATATGGATATGCTTATGTTCCATATTGTCCTCCAGCTCAAATATATGAAACACTTCAAGAATTTGCATGTCATCCTTGCACGGGACCATGCTTATCTTCTCTGTATCATTCCAATTTTAGTATATGTGCTGTCAAAGCAAGCACCAATTATTGCTTTTATTTTATCATTTCATTACTTTTATTTTGTTTAAAATAATTCCTTTTTTTAATGTTCAAATTTGACAGTTTATTAAATGTCAATGTTTCTTCTTTACTAAGGTAAGAATTTAAGGCTATATATTTCTCCCTAAGTATTATTTAAGTGATATCCTAGAAATTTTAATATATATATGTTTTTCATTTTTAGATATATTCTAATTCCCTTTATCATACATTATTTAAATTAATTAGTTAAGAATGTAATTTAAACTTTCTAAGTACACTTCTAAAATTTTTAAAGTTTTGTTTTCCTTTCATTAGAGATGCACACCATAAGTTACATGATGCTGAAGGTCAACATTTGTGAATTCTCCAGGTATATTTAAGAAATATATGTACTTGCAAAGCTTTCTAATTATATTAATTAAAATAAAACATATTTTCTTCTAACTTGTAACCTAAGAATGTTTATTACTTTAAGTGATTAGAGGCCATGGCATCTATAATTTCTTTTTATAGATGATTTATAAGTTTTGCGAAACTTAAATGTTATTGAAACTAATCCACTAGATGATAGTTACATCATACTGTTAACCTCTAATGTTTTTACTTATTAAATCAGACTTTTATTCATATCAATAAGATTTTTCCCCCAAAGATACATTAGATATAATAAAGATTTTTAGTGACAAAATAATTATAAAACAAACTATGAGAGTGTAGTTTCCTATAGCGTGTAAATTAATTTCAGAATTATTTTTGCTGTAACACCTGCAGTCTGATTTAAAACTTATTTCTTTTAATCTGGTGGATTTCTTTCTTTCTTACTGCAATTCCCCTGTTTTAAGAGAAATTCTTGTTGCCAAGGAATGCTAATATTTTATTTAGAATGTTTATTTGACTCACATTGCGTTTTAGTCTGAATCATTTAGTATTACATAATTCTTCAATTATTTGGTATGCATTGGTCTTATCAGCTTAAATAGATGTATGTTATTTGAGATTAGTTGAAGTCTTTTTATTCATACTTATATATAACTGCTCCAACATTCACTATGATGTGTGCAGATGAAAGTATAATGTAGACAGTGAAAAATTTTTTAAATTGATAGTTTGCAAAGGTTATACTTTTTTTCTATGTCTTTTTTTCAATTTCATGAATTTCAGGGTCTCAAAAAAATAGCATCTACTTCAAAAGTGACAAGGTAGCTTTTTTAAATTCATAAGTGTTTCTCAATGTCTATTACTGCAACATTACATTTCTTTTGCTCTATAATTGAATTTAAGAAAAAAATAGTATATCTTTTGATATACTATAATAATAGTTAACATTTTTAAGCATTTTTAATTTACAAAGGATTTTTTCTTTTTTATTTATTTACTTGTGACAAAAATCCCATGACTGTTAACCTTTGTGATACTTGAGCAATAATTTAGAGAGAATTAAGAGACTAGCTTAAGAGCAACATATATCACTAAGATTTCTTTGTGCTCCAAGTTGTTTGTTACATGGTAAATACAAGCACATAAAAGTCTTCCCAGACAAATGCATTTCATGGAACAAGTATTAATAAAAATACAAAAACAAATAAAAGACAAAACTAAATTTATGATACTTGCTGGCTGAAGAAAAGCTGCATTTGGAAACATGGCTTCACCCATGTATGAGTAGCTCATTTACTTGTATATCATGTTGGGTAAATGAACAGGGTTTTGACCAGTTCTAATAGAAGTAGAAAGGTTATGACTGGGTCTATCAGGGAAAAAAAAGAATTTCATTGCTTGCAGGCTAAAATAAGACTGTGTTTCCATGCTCAGCATTCTGATTTGTCCCAGAGCACAGCTTGTTTATTCTGCTCTTATAGTCACTGATATGATTTTGACCACAAAGTTCTCAGGGTCTATGATTTTAAAATATGAGTCTGTTCAATACCACATCTTTGATGCTGATAAAATTGAACAGCGCAAAGTTTATTATTGTGCTACCCTTAAAGCTCATTAACCAGAGAAGCTTTGACAGATTTACATGGTGTACATAAGTGCCTACATGATCTTGCCATTAAGTGCAGTAACTTTATCAAATATTAAGGAACCACTGAGTATGCCATTTAATAGATATCAAGCAATGATGACCCACAAAATCATATACTCTTTGTTTCTTTGTAAATGAAAAGAATTGATATATACAAATGATGCTTTTATCTATTGTTATCCTTTAATTTAACTCAGCAATTTTAGATCTTCATGATGATGGAGTTATAATAAAAAGTGGTTTGGAAAGCTTTCTACAGCCACATCTGAAATCTGAATATGGTGGGCCCCATAGTGGAAGTAAATCAGCCCACTTAAAGATCATTCATCATTCCCCTGTTTCCTAGAGATGATTTGGAAATGGAGTGTTTCTAAAGGACCCTTGCTAAGCTGAACTTGATGTAGTTCAAGGAACCACAGAAGCTCCAGAGTCACACTGAGCTACCCAATGTTTCCTGGGAAGGGTTTGTCAGTTCAAGTTGACACCTTTGGAGCATGTTTATAGTATCCCTGTCATAGATCAGATTTAGGACAGATATTTTACTTTCGAAATTTTATCAGACTTTATAAATGACTCTAGGTTGGAAATGTTATTTGGTTAGACATTGGTCAAGCTGTGTTGGTGGCTTCTGTTTTTAAAGTTGCATCACCTTAAAATGCATCAAATTTAAGACTTATGAGAAGTAACTCTGGAGAGGAATTTAAAATTGAACCTCACTACAATATACAGTTTGTAAAAGAAAGTCTCATGACTAACTTACTTTGTAATTATCTACTTTAAGTGGGTTTGGAAATGACATTCAGATATGAAGACAGGGATTAAATCTTAAGAATGTATTATATAACTCAGAGGCTTTTTTTCTTCTTTAAGTAAAAATATTGATTTGAATATCAGTACAGTAACAATCATATAAATGAAATTAAGTGCTGTAATATAATACTTCAATTTCACACAGGAGGATTCTTCTAAATTTATTGATGTTTCACAGACCACTAAAAATATTTTCATAAGTGGATTCTTTTTAGTGAAGTATAGTGTATCAACATTTGTACTAAGAAATACTTGGAATTTTTTTGTGTGTTATTTGAATGTAACTCTAGATTTCTCCACTGATTTCTTTTTTTTACTAAACCTTTTAAATGAAAACAAGAGAGGAATAGTTGTTTAACCTACTGATATTTCTAGTGAATAGCAATTATTAGCATAATGAAGCAAACTAACATAAACTTTGTAGCAAATTAAGTTATTATCCAATGTTTTTTTCCAATGGCATGATTTGAGAGAAGGGAATTTGTCTGTAAGTGAAAATTTATGAGTTTGATTCAATAAGAATTTGGAGACTTTAGCTTAGAGTAAGAGATTTCTGATTTGAAAACATTCCAAGTTCAACTGTGCCTGACTTGCTTCCTTAGGGTGAGAAAGTTGTTACTAGATGCATTCCTGAGGATGTAGGGTAGATGATATTCCCTCAGGACCTTCCCATCTTAAATTGAGTCCAAGATGGGGCAGGAGTGTGGCCAGGGCTGTGTGTGTGTGGAGGGGCGTGATTCTGAGTGAAGAGAAACTTCCACAGTGGCTACCAGTTCTGCTTGGTGACAAGATCTAGTTGTCTCTTCCACCTTTAACTCAAAGTTCTTTGCCTCTCCATCATAGTGGGCTTAAGAATCAGGCTTGTTTTCTGGAGAGTGGATGGGAGTAATTCTGTCTTGTTCATGAGGTGGATGAGAGAGGAATGGGGAAAAGCCCAGTGTCTTCTCTTGACTTAGTGTGGAGGAAGCTTCATCAGCACCTCTAGAATATTTAAAAGTAAGAGACTCCTAGGCACTGAGGAAAATTTATAGTGACAAAATAATTTGGCAACTAAATAATTTAGCCTAGAGGTGAAGTTCTTCAGAGAAGGAACCAAAGGACAAGTAGAGAGAACAGATAGCATATGCCCCTTATAGATTAAGGTCTGACTCTAAATTATAATTTAATGTTATATAAGGAAGTAAGAGGAAAGAGAGACTCAGAGAATCTAGGAGAACAATTTGATTGTTTTAACTTTATGTGCCCTCCTCATTTTTTCTAACATTTCTCTTAAAGGAAATGGAATAAAACATCTTTAAGTACTTTTTTAAAATGATAGGTCAAAGACAGTTGCTAAGGTCTGGGCTTCATCAACTGGAGATCTAGGAAAGTGGGGTTTTTCTTTGTTTTTAAGTTTCTATACACAACTCTCCTTCATTTTTGAGTTTATACTATGCAAAGAAGTGCAAAACAAAGTAGGAGTTCTTCCAGTTATTCTTCTATCTCAGTGGAAAATCAGAAGTTAGAAATCTATGACGAGAATAAGACAGATTTAAGCTCTCTCCAATAATTTAGTTACTGCTTCTACAGACAGAGTTTTGAGAAGATATTTGGAAAAAGGAGTCTAGTAAAGGCCATTCTGAGAATGTTTCATAGTTCCAAAATAGGTAAAGCGGTTAATTGTCTTCCCTGTGTTAAAAACTGCATCCGTGAACAGTAGCAAACACTTGCAGAGCAGGCACTTCTGATTTAGTAGAAGGTATTACGTACCCAAGGTGGACCCCAGCTCAGCCAAGTTCCTCTCTGTGTCTGCTGCCTATTCAGCACTTGCAGTTCCAAGGGAAATTCAACACCACTAGACTTCACTGAGTCTCCTATTGGGAAAAGTGATAAACTGGGTTGACTGGTAAAAAGCAGAGTTTGGAAATTCTCAGGCAGCAGGGTCACTGGATGTTTCCCAAAGCCAGGCCATGGGATTGATGGTTTGGTAGAAATCTGAGCAGGTCAGGTCTAGTGCTGTAGCAGTGAAGCCAGGATTGCAGCCTAGCATGGTGAAGGGACACCCCCAAGGTATCAGAACACACAGATTCTGTTTCTGCTGCTTCCGAGACATGACATCCTGGACTTGTTTCTGGATGGTCCAGGTTGAAGTATTTATGACAAAGCAGGTATTTTGGGAGAGTCT